ACATGTAAGTAAACCGTCTCAGACATGCAGCTAATACACATGCACAGGTCCTGTACTGATCACTGGACAACTAGCCACCATGACCAGTAGTTTGATTATATATACAGTAGCATACATTCATATATAACTGACTTAATAAAGCAATTATTGTCAAGTTATTTCAGACCCTATACGAAATAGGAGATAGAAGCCATTATTTTCTATAGGGTCATCAGACTATAATTGCATGACATAATTATTTATCTAGTTCAAATGATAATAATTATATCACCTATTATTTAAATTTCACAGGATATCAATTCAAGAGGGCTACCAGTAAGTTGAATCAGTTTCTGGAACATGCTGATGAGAAGGTCTTAGATTGTACCATCTGCTTTAAGAGACTTCAAAATCCAAAATCCCTCAACTGCCTCCATAGTTTATGTTTGGCATGCCTGGAAGATTGGGTTAAGGAGAAGGGTCAGCTGACTTGTCAAACTTGCTCAAAATCATATCCAATTCCGGAGGGTGGGCTTGAGAAGCTTCCACCAAATACCTTTCTTAATAACTTATTAGAAACTATCGAACAATTTTCACAGAGTGATCACATGAAATGTAGTGTTTGTGAAAAGGAAAGACAAGTAAAATACTACTGCCAGGATTGCAAACAGTATTTGTGCTCTACTTGTAGTGATCAACATTTGCCATGGCAAATCACAAGTTACATTTAATGGAGGATGTGCAATCAATGAGTCCCTCTGAGATGACTTTGTTACATCCGCCTCTGTGTTCACATCACAGTAAACCTTTGGAGTTCTACTGCACAGATTGTAAAACTCCAATCTGTGTGAACTGTACAATTATGGACCACAAAGAATGGGAAGGAAAACACAAACCAATCAACATTTCAGACGATTTTAGGGCAGCAGACTGTTTAACATTAGAAGGAGAGGAATCTGTGATCACAGATCAGACAATTATTATCAAAATAATCAAAACAGATGAACATGAAATATATGCAAATCAACTGAAGGCAACATGGACACATCCTGCAGGAGAAACCAACATCTCTCAAATTCAGGAAAATGACAATGGAGATTATTTTGTGACAGGAAAATGCACAAGTCCAGGAGTTTGTAAACTAGATGTGAGTGCTGATGATGAACCAGTTAACCAATCACTAAAGATAATCAAAGTAGAAGACAGATTAGTAAATACTATTCAAATAAATGCAACAGATATTATAGATGTAGTTAAGTGTGAAGATGACTCCTTACTGGTTTCATGTTGGACAAATGAAATGCTCAAGTATAAGCAATCAGGAGAATATATTGGTAAGGTTACACTACCACAAGGTGTGGAAGTTTACAGAATGTACAAAATGAAGAATGGTAACATAGCATTCAGTGAATGCTATGTTAATACACCTGTCAGAATATGCAATATGAATGGTCAGCTGATTAAAACAATTAGTGAGAGAGTACAGAATACACCACGGAGCATTTATGTAAATGAGACATCAAATGTTTTGTATGTAGCAGAAGGAGGTTGGTCCAGTAGCTGTGTGTACATGTTTGACATGAATAATGGCAAGACCATCAAAACAATAGGGTCACATGGTACAAAAGAAGGTCAAATGAGTTTTGTCACTGATGTTACTCTTACTAACCAAGGACACCTTCTTGTATTGGAGTATGGCAACAGTAGATTACAATTATTTAATAATGAGGGAAGGTTCATAAAAGTCCTTGTTGAAGTGGGTGATGAGGATGGTAAGGTAAATTCTCCAAGAGCAGTAATAGTTGATGAGGATGACAACATCATTATATCAAATGAACACAAACTACAGCTATTCAGTAGTGATGGAACTTTCATAAAAAGAATTGATAAACCAGAAGATGGAATCAAATATCCATGGGGATTATCCATCATTTCATATCATCCAAGGAGACTTGCAGTAGCAAATCGTGGTGACAATACAGTAAAAATAATCAATTATTAAATACTGACAGTCCATTTGTTTCACTTGTATGTTTTCAAGAATTTAAATTTATAAGTGTAGGAATATCTACATATCCATTATTTCATATCATCCACATAGAGTTAAGTTATGGATCTTAAACTTAAAATCATTATTGAATACAATAAAGTTGGCATAATGATTATAAACCTGTTAAATATTTGATTATTGAATATGACATACATATAGAGCTGAAGTTATGATTATTAAACTGAAAACAATAATACTATAATCTGCCAACCTCAATTGTTTACAGTGTAGTTCTCATCAAATTTGAATCACACACTTACCTTATGATTTTAGTTTGTGTGGTGCTGGTCAAATTTGAAGTTTTTAATCATATAATGCATATACATGTTATTTTCTTGCATATTGATGTTAAACATTTTGCTTTTCAATCTATTGGGGTTTTTTGTACAGTATATCAACTTGTATCTCTTTGATTTTCATAAATTTTGATATTTGCATGTTTGTTTATTTCTTTTTTAATTCCTGTATATTTCTTTTTGTTTTTCTGTATAAAAAACCTAACAAGCTCACAACAGAGTGTATATTATAAACACACCAGACAAACATTCATATCCAAAAATGATTCAAAGTGGTTGGACAGGGAATTATTTAAAATGGGGGGGGGGGGGTAAGCATTTTATTATTTCATCATCATAAAAAGGATATACTGTATATGAATTAGTAGTTAAGCTTAGCTTTAGTTTGCATTCATCTTAAATGTAATCTGTATTCAACCAATAAATGTATAGATATTAATGTGTAAAATTATCTGAATCTGATACGTATGTAAGTATAATAAGCAATTAGTAGAGCACCGCATAGTACACTATAGGAAAAGTATTATACAGAGGTAGGATTCATAGCTTGCAAAAATTTGCTGAGGGCCTGCAAGGCCTAAAGGAAATTTTTGAATGTATTAAATGTAACCTAATTTTCCATCAGTGTGTGATGCATGCTCTACTAATTGCTTAATAAGTTAATCAACGTTTTTTAATTTCAGTTTTTGATAACCAACTGTTGCTATAGTGATATGATCAGTATACGTGTGCGTACTTATAGTTAGCTGAGCGTATGCTGATTTTTGCTCCTGCTGTACGTATTTAATTAACTACACATCAGCAGTACAGTATGGATACGATGAATAATTATTGTAATATGGGTTGTGTTCGAAAGAACTTGTTTGTAATGCTATTTTTGTAGACTTTCGTCAAAGAAATAAACATTTTTCAGCATTTGAGAGAGAATACAGTCACTGACCTCTTTGGTCGGTGCATGCAGACAGGTAAAATCGTGCGATGATATCATAACTAGGATAGGCCATGCCTAGTATTAGGAGGAGGCCTGGGTGGCCTCTTGCCTGGCTGTAGGCCTACATCTAAATGTGTTCCTTGAGTCTTTAAAACAAGTCTAGAATATTCCTATTAAACGTTCAGTTTGTTGAGTTTATGAGGGTCCATTGATTCAATTAATTCCTTAATTGTTCATAATTAATATTGAATTTGAAGTAACTCGGTCAAGTATTACAAAAAACTGTATATCATGATTACTCAAGATTGAATCATATGATATAGTTCTTAACACACAAATCAAACAATTGTTCAAACCTTAAATGAAAATCTTTGAAAATGTCTGATGACTCTTGACAGACCAGATGACACAGTATTTATTTTGCTCCGCCTCCTCCTCATCTGTGTTCTGATATCAACGAAATAGAAACCAGAGCCTTGCAGGCGTCAACGTTCCTATGCATGATACATGACTTAAAAAGTATATAGGCCCTATATTATATATATACGTGTATATATATACGTACATATATATACATACATATACACATATATACGTATACACCTACCGTATATATACACGTATATATATATATATATATATATATATATATATATATA